ATTGTTATAATATAATTAAATTTATCATTCATTAATTAAAATTAAAATATTGAAAAGTATGGTGTTTATGGTATTGAATTATTAAAATAAAACATAAACACCAACCATACTTACATATTATTCGTAATTTTTTGTATGATATGACAATCATTATTATACCATGTCATTCACCGTTATGTGTCTTGTAAAAATTGTGATGATAAAAAAAGAAGTGTTAGTTAAATAATAAAAATAAAAGAGTTTAGAGGACTCATCGAGGTCATCGATTGAGGTCGACTTTTCGAGACACGTGAAGTCTAACATAAGTTTAGTTAGGTGTGAGCATAAATACCGTTGTGTTTCATCTTTTGAATGATATTAAATGGTGAAGAAATGGTATTCTAATGGGTTTTTTGAAACGTCACAAATTGAAAAAGTGTTTCACATCTTATTTTCTTATTTTTGATTAACATTCAAATATGTATATTTTGATTATACAAATTTTGTGTCAGTTGTTTCGAAACTTTTCATAATAATATAATGTATTTAATAAAATACTTTTGTATTTTTCATTAAGATTATTTAATCATTGAAAAATATGCCTTGTTACATAATTTCAAATTATCCAAAGAAATATATTCTTTTCAAAATTCGTATATTTCTTCGAAAAAGAAAAAAAAACAATACAATTTCAAATTAAAGTTTTTATACAATAAATGCACGAACGAACTTTTGATGTTCATTCTACGAAAGTTTACCTAAAATCCATGTACTCGACGTTGATCGAATTGATGTCTACGACAAAAATACTAAAATTTACTGTAAAAAATGAATACAACAGATTTACAATTTATTTGTCATTTATTTTGTTCGAAATTAAAATATTATTATACAAAAAAAAAGAAAAAAAATGAAAAAACAGGTTTTAAAAATATTCTTCTAACCATTGCTAAATTTTAGCATAATTAATAAATCACGTTTTATTTTGTTTTCCTTTTTACTGAAGAGAGAGAGAGAGAGAGAGAGAGAGTGAAACTTAGAATATTATCTCTTACATAATATGACAAAATAATAATTGTTATGTAAAAATGTAACTATAGGATATCTGTAATTGAAATAGATTGCATATAAGTGACCGTTTAATGAATTAATTGGCACGCCTTTCAAGTTAGTTAGAAATGTCAATCGAAAGACATTGACAGTTCTATAAAGTTCTATCTAAAGATGAAGTGTACTACTATTGTAATCATTTTATTTCATTATTGTTTAAGTATTTTGCAAGAAGTCTTTTCCAACAGGTTGTACTTTATCCTATTTTATTTATTATCTCTCAAAATTATCTCTAGTTTTCTTTTTCTTTTTTTAAATAATAATAATAATAATAATAATAATAATAATAATAATAATAATAATAATAAAAAGAGATATTTTATTAATTATAATTTTAGCATTTTCGAAGGAAATATCAAAAACCAGACGAAAAATGTTATGAAACCAAGAGTAGTATTACCAGATAATTACGTTAAAGGTTCGTTAACAATATATCAGGGATACCATAAAGTTATTATAAATAATAATTTATTAGAAAAACAATTTAATCTGAAAAAAAACATCTTCAAATATTAATTACAAATTCATAATTATAAAATTGCACATTTGCAAAGACTTTCTGATATCCCTAATACATGAATTAACGTAGTGTCATTCAAATTGGAACAATAATAATCTTGTTTAATTGTTTTGTTTCAGAAATTCGACCACCATCAAAGAAAGGTGTACCTGTGACAGTAAATTTTAGTATTTTCGTCGTAGACATCAATTCGATCAACGTCGAGGACATGGATTTTAGGTAAACTTTCGTAGAATGAAGATGAAAAGTTTATGCATTCATTGTGTGAAAAGTTTACTTTGAAATTGCATGATGAATTGTTTTATTTTTTTTTTTTTTTTAAATAAAATTTACTTTACAAATATTTGTATTATTTTATTATATTTTTATTGTTTATTTTTTTTTTTTTTTTAATTAAAAGAGTAGACATGTTCGTTCGTCAAAGTTGGACCGAGTCAAGACTTTACATGCCAGATGACATATTTGAAGATGGTGATGATTACGTTACATTTCCACCAGAATTTTTTGACAATCTTTGGCAACCCGACCCATACTTCCTGAATTCCAAAGTATCTGGTAATTGTATTTCAATTTATTTCAAAATGATTTTATTAACCATACAACTCATTTGATGATTGATGAAATTAACAGCTTTCACGTATACTTGCCACATACACCTGTTATCATTTTAATCATTGATTAAAAATCATGAAAATATTTTCTTACAAATTATTGGTTTCCTTATATTCATTGTACAACAATATAATCAATACATCATACAATATAATCATTGTACATCAATATAATCATCATTACAGTTGTGTAATACTGTTCATTGCTACTGTTGTTTTGCAGAAATCGCAACCTTAAACCGTAAATTCTCTTCAGTCACACTCTACAGAAACAAAACAGTAAGATATTCAGCACGTATGCACGCAATAATAGCGTGTCAAATGGAATTTCAACTTTATCCGATGGACATACAAGTTTGTCCTATTTACGTTGAAAGTTGTAAGTTAACATATATGATGTATTAATTATAAAATGAGGTGTCTAAAAGTAATCATGATCATTTGTCATGTAACATAAACAAACCATAACGTTTATTAACTTTCTTCTTTCATTTCAATTGTTTTATCATTATTTGTTATTTTTTTTTTTTTAAACCAGAGATTTTTATTTCTCAGTTTCTTACAACAGTCAAAAGTTACGTTTGAGATGGGACGACAGTGGTGGTGTAACAGTTAATCCTGAATTAAAATTGTTACAATACAATATAGGAAAACCTGTTGTCTTTGAAGAGATTACTCATTATATGTTGGAAAAAAATGGTATTCAATTAAATTCTAATACAAAACAAAGAAATATACAGTATGATAAAATGAATTCAATATTATTTAGGTAATTTCTCAAGGTTGGTGGTATTATTTCGATTTGAGAGAGAAATTGGGCATCATTTGATACAAACGTTTGCCCCATCAACGTTAGTAGTGATGTTATCATGGTTCAGCTTTTGGTTGGGTTTGGATGCTATTCCTGGACGTGTTGCACTTTTAGTTACAAGTATGCTTACATTAGTAACAATGTTTACTGGATTGAAAAGTGATATTCCACCGGTTGCTTATGTTAAAGTAAGATCATGATGATGATGATGATGATGATAATAATAATAATTTGTCAATTATATATCATATTTCTAAAATAAATTAATAATATTGATTTGTAGGCGTTGGATCTTTGGATGGCGGGTTGTATGATGTTTGTATTTGCTGCTTTGGGAGAATTCGTGGTAGTCAAAGTACTCGATTTGCGTTATCAATTCGGAAGTGATTTACAATCGTCAATCTTACCTCGAAGTTTTCAAACAGTTTGTATATAAACTTGTTTCCCTTTTATCTTTCGTAATATGAAAAATATTTATATTAGATTGAAAATTATGAAACGGGCGTTGTTTTTTTTTTTTTTGATTTAGTTTGTGTTTTTGAATTGTTTATTAATTCTAAAAATAAAGATTTTGTTCAAAAAGGCATATATGATTTGTCCAATCATTGGCAAAAAATCGTAGATGCCAATGGAAATGATTTCAATTGAATATAATAAATAATGTGAAAAATTGTGCGCTTTTCGTTTTTTATTTTCATTCAAACGCCCGTTTAATAGTTTCCAACCTAATATATTTGTTTTCATTATCTTATCAAATTATTTATTTCATTAAGCGATCAACTTCAACGGACAAAGGACAAAATTTTGGATTTTGGGATTATGATACAATGTATACACCAAAATATAAGGCCAAACGAACAGGAAGTAAAAATCTTTTACAAACGTGGCTCGATCTTGAAACATCTCCGTTGTTTCCTTCAAGAATTAGATCACATAAAATAGATCGTTATAGTAGAATAGGATTTCCTATTCTTTTTCTATTATTCGTAGTTATATATTGGCCAATACTTTTACTCAAAAAAACAGCATGATATAAGTTTATGTTTTTTTTATTTAATTAATGCCACGTCAATCAACTATTTTCAGTATTAATTGACTTTGTTTTGGCACATTTTAACAAATAATTAATTATTATAATATTGTAATAGTTTAACGATACCAATATACACAACGTTGTGTACGCGGCGTATAACGCTAAATTTTTTTAAATAAAATAATTATTAGAAAAAATTACAATGAATTTGTATAAAAAAAAAAATATATATATTTTTTTGTTTTGTTTGTTTGTATGTAATGCATTAACATGCATTTTTTTCTTGTTTATATACAAAGTTACAATTATTTTATTAATATCAACATAAATCATCGCGCATGATGATTTAGAATGAATCATCGGATTCATCACTATTCATATCAACATCATCTATTACTTTAGATTTAGCAGCCTTTATTTCTCCCATTTTTCTTATATAACTTATTGTGTATTGATTATAATCACATCTGCAATAAGAACAAATTATATTAACAAAATTTGTTACACGTTGTACAATGTTGTTATTGTAATAATTCAATTTAACTTACATCTGACTCAAATCGTCGTACATTTTTTGCATATTCTTTTGCAACATTAATAATACCGGCATTTGAAAGATCATAGTCATTTTATGTCCATGATTAGTTAATATTACTTCTATCCATAAAAGATAAAAATGTATATGTCTCGTAGATTCTAATTCGTTTGTTATAAATTTTAAAACTTTCTCTACATAAGTATCCGCCAGGGTTCTTATAACCAATTCAACTGAAATATTAAATATAATGAATATTGATTATAATAAATTCATTTTTTTTTATATTTTAATAAGAATATTTAAATAATCTTACTATTTTTGCATGGTACAGCTTCTAAACATTGTCTTATTAAAGGTTTTTCATTTAATCTCAAAGCCATCATCAATGCTGAAAAATAAAAACACATTATATTTAATTTAATTATTATTAATATACATATAAATATAATTAAATGTTTGATATGATACAAACCTTTGGAATATTCCTGTTTAGAAAGAGCTTCTTTGGTAGTAACAGGAGTGATACCAATTTCCAATTGAAATGGATCAAACATAAATTCGGTATTTAACGAATATATCAATAAACCTTCGGTCGTTGCTGCTCCCCATGATTGTCCTAATTAATACATTTATTTTAATAACTTAATCAATTGAAAGTATATGTATAATATTTGTAATATTTAATATTTTACCCGTTGGAGAAAATTGTAAACTGTAAACCCTAACTTCTGGTTTCATACTTCTACTAGCCATATCACCACTTCTAACACCTGGCAAACGCAACGTCACGTTACCACCCTCATTTTCTTCACGTTCTTCGACCAAAGCAATATTTCCAAATTCAGTTAATTTTCGTCTATTTATAAAATCCTATTAAAACAAATCAATTATTAAATATGTAACAGAATGTTATAACAAAAATTGAATAAACTAAAATATAGGACCCGTGTTTCTTATGTTTCAGTCATGTCACGAGTTTCACACATGTTTTTATTAAATAATTATAATAATATACATACGTTTACTCCATCCAATGATCTGTTTTGTGTTACTTCAAATTTTTTTAACAATATTCCTTCTTTAACATTATAAATACAAACATTTTTAGCTTGTCCACCAGCTAATATACACGAGCCATCAGCAGAATAACACAATGAAGTAAATGCTCTATAATAAATAGAATATCATTTGTAAATTAACAATTATATTTTAAAATCATATTATATGAAAAAAAGAAAAAAACAAAATATGTTTACGTACTTAGCTTGTGCAGATTTTTTCGCTGTAATCATATCCGTTTCTAATCTACCACTACCTAAATCATTCCTGCCTTCGATACTACCCGTTTGTTGTAAACTTTTACAATGGAAAAATGAAATTTCACCATTTAAAGTAGCAACTGCAACTTCTTCACCATCAGGTCTATAAGTGACGTATAAACCTTCGGAATTTAATTGTATCGTCTCATGCACGGAACCATTTTTGATAGCATCCCATATTTTCAATGTTTTATCCCAGGAAACGGATACCAGTTCGGAGCTCGACAAATTCGGATTAAAAGTTAAACTTACAACGGGTCCTTCATGACCACCTAATATCTAAAAATAAAAAACAAACAATTATTATCATAGTAGTAGTAGTAGTAGTTTTTGAATATTTTGGTTTTTTTTTTTTTTAATCAAGATTTTTATGTGATAAACAAAATATGTACCTCTAATAATTTTCCCGTTTTAATACTCCACAAATAAATATAAAAGAAATCTTGACCTCCAGCAGCAACTAATTCATCACTCGCGTCTAACGTTACGCAAGAAAATTGTATTGGTCTGAATGACGTTAATGTTTTAAAATTTCTGTATCTGCTTAAGTCATACGCTCTGACAGTTCCATCCAACGAAGAAGAAACAATAAATTTGCGATTATGACTGAACAAAACTCCTGTAATCGGAGAGGTATGTTCTTTAAAGGTAACAGAACAAAATCCGCTCATTGTATTCCATAGTTTTACTTTTCCATCTTCACCACCAGTAACAATATATTGTCCATCAGGACTATAAGCTAAAGAATTAATATTGTTACTGTGTCCTTGTTGTTTCATAGCGTATGTTTCACTTTGCCATTCCCAAACCAATAATTGACCTACATTTGAACATCCTAAAGCTATCCAATCTCCAGTACAGTTTATCGCAATAGTTGAAATACTTTGTTGAGAAATTCTGAAAATATGGAAATGATTAAATTAATAAATGAAATAATAATATGATATATTGTTTTGTTAATAATATTTCAATAACTTACTCTAAAGAATGAATCATGTTACCGTCAGGCATATCATATAAAAAGAATGTACCATTGTTAAATCCTACTATTAAAATATGAGTATCTTTATGATATGCAGCTGCCGTTAATTTTATATTTCTTGAATTTTGTTCTTCTGTTTTTGGTGCTACGAAATGACGTACAAGTCTCTTATAATATAATTTTTTAAATGATGTCCTTGTTTTTGTATTATCTTCTTCTTCTCCTTTTACATCTTCTTGTTCTTCTTGTTCATCTTCTTGCTCTTCTTGCTCTTCTTCTTCTTCTTCTTCTTCTTTTGGTTCTTCAAATTCTAGAATATTACATTTATCAAAAAATAAAATTACACATGTTAAAGTATTATTAAAAATTACAATCAAATTTATTTTCAATTTTTATCTTACGCAATTGATATAATCTGCGCTCAGTATTCCGTAATTGTTTATCAGTTTTTTCTATAATTTTATCCAAATCTACGTCATCTTCATTATCACTATCAATTTTTCTTTTTTTTTTAATCGGTTTCCAATGCACCAAATCCTTGGGATCAATGCTACATTGCCAATAAGCAACTTGTCCATTTCTATAAACAACAATGTATTATTTATTTTATAAATATTCCATATAAAAATATTATTAAATATATAATTAATATTATACCTGTCAACAGTAGTTATATCATAACTATCCTTTTCAAAGAAACATCCTACGATATTGTCACGATGACTACCAAGCGAAATTGTTTTAAAATTAGCCCACTTTTGTAAACTGAACAATTTAGTACAAAAATCTTTAGAACCAACAGCCAAAAGGTTCGAATCGAAAGACCAATCTAAGCACGTAGTTTCATCTACGGATGCATGAAATATTCGTTCCATTATAAATGGATTGAATTCTCCTGTTTGTAGATTCGGTGCATTAAAAATAAAAACTGAAAAGATACACAAATGTATAAATCATTCAGTTATTATAATACAAATAAAAAATAAGAATATTATATGTTTCCTTTAAACGTAATTACCATTATTTGCTTTACAAACAGCTAAGTATTTTCCATCTGGTGAAAATTTAGCACACCTTACACGATGTTTAAATCTATATTTATGCATCACCATTTTACTGATCATACTGATTATATGAGCATCTCCCCCTGTAAATATAATTTATTTATATTACATGTTTATAATAAGAAAATTAAATTTATTTGTGTTTATGCTTTACTTTCATTAATTGCAATTAGCAAACAGCCATTTGGAGAAATATCTAAGGTGGTATAATTAAAATTACTTTCTATTGGAAGAGTCGTGGATTTGTTGCTGAAATAAAACAATTTTAATATTAACTAGTTTTCTGAATCATTTTCATAAGTATGTTATTTTATTATTATTATTATGAGTATATTAGAATTATTATTATTAATATATTAAATATATATACTTACTTTTTTAAATCAAAAATAGAAATTCTATTTCCCACTGGACTAATAACACATGATCCATCTAGAGAGAATATTACATTTCCTTTACGGTAGACCGTACCAAGTAAATTATTGAACTGTAAAAAATAAAATACAATTTATATTAATTTAAATAATACTTTTCTATCATTTAACAAATTATTTAATTATTAATAATATCAATATTGATCTAAGTGCGTATAATAAATTTAAACACCCAACAAAAATAGGTTAGAAAAAGTTATTATAAAAATAATATCCAATTAACATGAATTTATATAATATTTTCTATTTTTTATTATTATATTTATTTATTAACTAAATTTTATTTATGTTTATTTGTGTTTACATATATATTAGTATTTATCTGCATGTGTGCATGATAAACTAAACAATTGAAAAGAGGTTAGAAAATAAAGTTAACATATAAAATGAATTGTATATCAATATAAATATTAAATAATAATTAAATATTAAATATTACAATAAAATCATACCTTATAAGAGAACTTCATTGTGTTTTTAAGAGTTAATTCGAACTATAACCAAAAATATCAGACCACGTTTATTTTGTTGTTCAAATTGATCGTACAGTGAAACATGCGACCTCTACAACTTCCGTTAGGAACTACTAATCACGTGCTCTGAATTAAGGCGTCGGCTTGAATACAGAAATTACATTTTAAAGAATAAATTTCTATTTTGCGTAAATTATACAATTTATTAAACAATTTTTCATGTATAAATAATATTAATAATATTAATAAAAGAAACAATAGAATGAACAAAACTTATCGTTCTCATTTATCGACATATTTATTATTGAAATTAATTTTACAATAAAATATAATAACATTTAAATATCAAATTAAAATAAAATAAAATTATATTACAATTATCTACTCATATTTGCATTTTATTAGTTAATTAAATAACATCAGGTGGTTAAATAAGAAGCATAAAAACATGTCCTACATTCACCCATATGTGTGATTCGATACGCAGTTGAGATAAACGTTTCTACGTTCATTGATCTGATAAGACGATCGCAAGATAATTACTTTATTTAAATTGGAAAAGATAGATAACGCTTTGATACAAGATAAGAACAAAATAATATGAATAAGCTATTCATTAATTTATATATGTATATATATATAAATTAATATATATACATATATATATACATATACATATATATCTTTCAATAAATGAAGATTAGAATAAGATATTGCAAAAATTCTATCGTAATTGAAATAAAATCAATTGATGACAGTATAAAGCGAATGAAAATTTAGAAACATGAAATTGTGTCAAGGCAAGAATACATGCACATATATCTTTGTATATATACATGTATGCATAAATATATACGTATAAGTATATTAGTTCTCTTCAAGTGTCTCCAGGTAGAATTCCCAAATATTGCATAGGCGTAGATCAGGAATCGGAAGCGCGCGCGTCACGCGCTTCCAAAATATGTGCGCATGCGCCTAGAATGTAATATCATCAGACTAGATGGCGTTTGTATAGAGTATTTGACGTCACGTCGATGAAAAGAGACAGGATCGTTGATTGGTTTATTGTACGATGGCTCTTATTGAATGACCAATGAGAATAGCGAATACATTATTCTTTAAGTGAACAGCTTTCTCTATCGGTCGTCACTTGTCACATGACCCGCGCCACTATACGGTAGGCCATATTTGACAGTGGCACTAGTCTAGCGAAGTGAGTGCGTGAAGATCGTTCCTCGTTCGACGGTCCGCGAATTATTCAACCGACAACTTGTGTAAATACTCGCGATCATTTATTGAGCGAGGAGTCCATAGAGACGTACTCAATTAAGTACAGATAGAAGATTATTCTACACACAAAACACACAAGATGAGTACGTTTCCAGAGGACGCACCCATTTACGGGCCCTTTTTCGGTGTAATGGGCGCTGCCTCTGCCATTATATTTTCCGGTAAGTTTCTCTCTCTTTCTCACCCACGCATCCATTACACATACATACATATATACATACATACATAACCATGATATATTTTACCATCGTCGACCATTAATCGATACTAAAATATTTCGATATTTTCATTCGAATAAAAACCAAATTCTTCGAACTTGGAATGACTCGTCATGACGATATGACGTACACGACAAAGTACAATTTAATAAACGAATGATAAAGCACACGATCACGTATAATCATCCTACATAAGTATGCGTGTATCTATGTGTCCCGGGGAATCTGGGGAAACGTCTAACGCGCCATTTTATCTACCCAAAGCGCGCAAGATTTGGAAAAATCGATCCCATATTTCGTCCAATCGATGACAAGGTTCTTACGTCGTAGACTTTATTTTTACAAACCTGTCACGATTTTTTTATTTGACAATCGAACGTGGATGATTTAAAAATGAAGGACGTAAAGAAAATAAAATGACGGACGGATGGATGGACGGACAGACGAACGAATGGATGGGGTGACGGAGAGAACGCTTAATCGAACGACGTATGATCGAAACGATACTTGTAATTTAGATTCTCTCTCTCTCTCACTCTTTCTATCGTTCAATATATATATCTTCTGTCTCAGTCTCTCTCATGTATCTTTCAATCCCTTCGAATGCAACGACGAAGAAGACGCATATAAGACTCGTTGTGCTCGTCGTCCTTTTAACGATAGGAAATGGAAAAATACGACGTGTCTTTAGCTCTATCTATCTCACTTATTTTCTCTATCTGTCTCTCTCTCTCAATTCATTCTCTCTTTCTCTCTCTCTTTCTTTCTTATACGATGCGCATAGCAACGGCAGAGAAGTTCTAATCTCGGTTAGCTGAAGATGCCAAGGATACGGATTCGATATTTGAAGCGCCATTTTCCTGCGCATGTAGATCGTCAATTTCGTAATCTACTTAAAACATGATCCAAGAAAACTATCTTCTTCATTAAAACAAATTCCTCTATTTCTTCTAATCCAACCTTCTCACATTCTCTCTCTCTCTCTCTTTCTGTCTCTTTTACGTTATGCATCATTAAAAAGAACAGAAACGTTCCCTACCCTCCTCCCCCACCCCCTTTTTCTCCCTCTTTCAGTTACTACTACTACTACAGTCAGACTTTAAATTCTTATTTCGTAATTTCGTTGACCTCGATGAGAAGTAGTACTTTTTCTAGTAGTTGGGGGTTTTTTTTTTTTTAGTAATTAATTTGAGTAGATATATATCATTATGTATCATATTTTATCATCGCATTATCATCCTTATCGTTGTGTTGTAACATGTCTCTCTCTCCTTTGTAACACTAGTTACTTTATGATAATATTTTGAAACATGAAGCTAATCTTTGAGAAATAATTGTTTAGTTTAATGATATATATATATATATATAGAGAGAGAGAGAGAAAAGGAAGGAAGGAAGGATAGTAGAAGGCAATCGAGTTTTGCTTTCTGGGAAATGAGCCACGAGAACCTCTCGGCTTCCTATCGAGGAAATCAATACGAATCCGTTTTCTCGTGTGCGCCGAAGTCCTATCTTCAATGGAACGACGACGGCAGCACACGAGGAAAAGGATATCGAACACGAGGCACGAATGAGGGAGACACCGGGATGGATATATACATATATATATATATATATAACAAATAATAATGATCTTCCTTTTTTTCTTCTTATTCTTCTTTTTGATACAATTAGACGACATTATTTTCAAATAACTAAATTAATATTACTAGTCTATTACTTTTTCAATTACATTCTTATCTAGTAATTTTTTAACTAAGGATAATAAAAGAATGTTCTCACATAAACGAACATTTATATTTTTCACGTGCACAATTTACTTGTATAAAACATAAATTAATATATTCTTTTTGTTTCTCAATGTATTATATATCAAAAATGGGAGGGGGGAGGGACCATCGTGCCACGCCCCCCTACTCACGGGACGGGGACTTACATGATTATCATGTGACTGCCAACGTGAGACTCATGTGACTCCGGGTTTCCAGTCTCTCTGGGCGTAACATGCTCGTCATCGATCAACCTTCTTTACCTTCTTTTTGTTTTATATATATATACATATACTTTTTTTTATTTAATATTTCTTTTTATATATATTTATATTTTTATATAATTCTTTTTTAAATTACCATTTAACAATCATGTTATGACATTTCTGTAATTCGTTTTAAAAAAACGATTGTTCGATTATAAAATATAATATTGATAATCGATATATATCGATAAAATTCGAGTTCTACAACTATGTCATGATTATGCAGTTACTTTTGATAACATTTATTGTTAACCAACATTATTTTCCATTTTTTATTAATGAAATCATACTTTAAATTGTGACGTTATTAAACTATAATTGAAATTGTTTAATTATGTTTGATATTTTTTCATTTTTTTTTTTTTTTTTTTTTTTTTATTAAGGAAACTCAAGAACATTTTGGTTATGTTGAATATAAATGTTATGTGAGGTTATAATGACAAAAAGGGGAATACATTTGTTTTATTATTTGTAGCTTTGGGAGCAGCTTATGGCACAGCTAAATCAGGTACTGGCATCGCAGCGATGTCAGTTATGAGGCCAGAACTTATTATGAAATCCATCATTCCTGTTGTCATGGCTGGTATTATTGCCATTTATGGACTGGTAGTTGCAGTTCTTATTGCCGGTAATCTAGACGAACCACCAAAATACCGTCTCTATAAGTAAGTAATAGATTCTTTGTTATTGTCGATTAAACTTATTATATATATTTACGCTGTATGCTTTAACACCATTTTAATATTAGATTGTGATTTTTGATAAAGATACTACAACAACTTACACATATTTAGCATTATTAAAAGTAGATATATATATATATCTTTTTTTTATATTATTATTATTATTACTTTATTACTAGTTTAAAACTAACTAATAATGTATTTAAAATTATTACGGCTTATATTCAAGAGATATAACAATTGTTGTTATTCTTATATTAAGCACATAAATATGATCAAATGTTTTTTCATTCTTCCACATACTTTAATACGCAAAGCTATTAAACACTTTCCAACAACGGTTTAATACAGCAAGTAAATAAAACAAAAACAAAAAAAAGGGTTTAACGATTGTATAACTATGAATCAATAATTTTAACCTGATTATTCAACGCATGTGTAATTAACGATTAACGAAATTTCTTTTCTTTCCTTTTTGCTATAGCGGTTTTGTCCACCTGGGTGCTGGCTTAGCCGTAGGTTTTTCTGGTTTAGCTGCAGGATTTGCCATTGGTATTGTGGGAGACGCGGGTGTAAGAGGCACTGCACAACAGCCTCGTCTCTTTGTCGGTATGATCTTAATTCTCATCTTCGCAGAAGTATTGGGTCTCTATGGTCTCATCGTTGCCATCTATTTGTACACAAAATAAACAGCGCGTAAAGAGGCAAGAATGCAAGACTTGTCGCCTGCAAACCAACAACGCTCCCCTAAAACTATTCAAATATTGCAACTTTGTTTCGACATTTTACTTAATCATATATACAACAAAAATACATGCATACATACATACACACACACACAGAGTTACATACACAAACATATTAATCTTCGTTCATGATCCGTATCGCCTTATCACTTGCGCATACTTCTGTAATGTTATTATTCAAACTACCATAATGTGTTAGAACTCTCTCTCGTGCATTTAAAAATAACACAACGTCTCTACACAAATTATTGAAATGTGAAAGATGTGTTGTATCTTTAGCGGAAGTATTGCAATGCAAGTTAAATGGCTGCGACAAGTCGAGAGATACATAAGAAATGACATTATTTGGAAGTAACGAAAATCATTATTATTATTATTATTTCGATCTGACGATAGGAAGACGAAATATAAAAAGAAAAATATTTAAATGAAAATGGGAATAACAAAAATAATTATATATATATATAAATAAATAAATATATACAAAAGTGACAAATTCACATACACACAGGCGACAGGGAATTAATTTAACGTTAGAGAAAAGAAGGAAGAAGGAAGAAGAAGAAGAAAAATAAAATCAAGAACTACCCCATGTCCCACGACGAAAAAAAAAAAAAAACACACATTTCTCTTTCACTGTATAGTAATCATTTCTTAGCGTAGTTTGACATTGAATTATCAATTAAAGTAATCGGCTCTACTGAATGTATAAAGATGAGAATGTTAATTCATAAAAAAATACTTAGCACAATTATATAATATTAAACGTAATTGAAGTGGCAGCATTCATACAGCACGCGATTGAGGTGTACGAAGAAGAAGAAGAAACGAAGAAAAGGAAGAAGATACATTGTTTACGATTGAGGAAGAAGAAGAAGAAGAAGAAGGGAAAAGGCCAGCAGCAACAAATGTTTGAATATATTATGCATGTAATTAAACAAGCGTAATACACATATGGTTGGTCGTTGTACAGTAGTCATGGGTTCTGTAAAAGAACAAAGAAATTTATTAAACAAAAAATTACAAACTAAATTCGTACAACCAAGAGAGAAAGAGAGAGAAAGAGAGAGAGAGAGAGAGAGAATGGATGCAATGAGGGACAAAGAATGATGTGTATTAAAAAGAAAATTGTGTCAACGAAAAGGGGAAATTAAAGAAGAAAAAGAAAAAGAAGAAGAAGAAGAAGCGTGAATGATGTATTAAAGTAAATGAAAAAAAGAAAAGATTACGAAAAAAAAAAAAATAATAAGAAAACTACAGATATATGATAGTATTAAGTCAATTGAAAGGCTGCTGGACGTAAAGAACAAAAAATAACAACACTTTGCACTAATCTCTGATTAAATTCTGAGAAAAGTGTTAATAATGTTTATGTAAATGTGTTGTATTTGCACGTGGTGTGGTTGAATTTACTGCAAAGGCCAGCAGTTAAAATTCACCCAACGTGTACGATTTAACAAAAAAAAAAAAAAAAAAAAAAAATAATAAGGAAAATTATTTCATTTACCATTTGAGAATATTCGAGGATAACAAAACATCGTCGAATTCGAAAATGCGTTTTACGAAATAATTATTTAAAAATAAAATAAACAAAATGACCAACTTTATTATAATCTACGTGCCAGCAGAAAAAGATAGAGAGAGAGAAAGAGAAAGAGAGTGTTTAGAGAAAGAAAGGGTGATGGTTTGAAAGAAACAAATAAAAAAAAAAATAATAATAATAATAAAAAGAGGGAAATTAATGGAAAAAAAATTTCGCTTATCTAAAGAAAATCGTATTACGAGGATAATAAATGACGAATAAAAAACAATTTGTACATTCCATAATAAGTTCGTTCGTTCGCGTTCAGTGCAAGGTGAGCAGCAGCGGGCGCTTTGTAACGTTTGTCAAACGCGTGGTCGTTTTTAAAAAATCCTTTTTGTTCTCTTCTATCTTTTTTTTTTTTTTTCTTTTTTTTTTATATTTTCTTTTCTCTCCCCCTTTGTTTTTATCTTGTTTCGTTTTTGTTTTATTATATATTTATCAATAATAATATTTTAAAACAACATCAGAGCAAACAACAACAACAACACCATTATACTATATAATGAATTGTAAAAAAAAAAGAAAATTAAATATAAAATACATCTTCTTATTAAACATTTTGAATATTTATGAAATAAATTGGAAAATTCGCATATAATAAAAAAAAAAGAATGCTATTTTGAAAAAAAAAGCTTAGCTGGCTTTTTGGTGCCGATTTTTCGCGAGAGGACAACCAACATACATCATTTAAAAGAAAAACAAATTCAAAAAACTAATTTTCTTCGTTCGGATTAATCGTCATGGGAGCTGACGATTAATCCGTAATATCAAATATTAGGTGTGTGTACGGCCTTTCAATTGGTTACCATCACTATACCCTTTTACCCAAACCCCCTCAAATAAAACCATCGACCAAAACACAACCACCACCACCACCACCACCATTATCAACAACAACAATAATAAGAACCCCTGACATCTCATTTTTGTCTGTGTATTTTCCAAAATAACATCATACGAAAACCGTTATTGTACAATTGATATTGTGCAGTATTTTCTACACATATGTGAGATACGAATGATGATAATGATGATGATGATAATAATAATAATAATGATAAAGATGATGGGGTTCGTTTTTAGTATAAATTAAAAGAGGGCACATTTTTAATAAAACCAAAAAAAAAAAGTCACGTTTGAACAGTTACAAATTAAAAATTCTGGAAGATATAAGAAGAAAAAAAAAACAACATCATCCCCCAAGTACAAGGAGAAAAATAGAAAACTTGTTTTCTTTTCTCAAAAACAAAAAAACATTATTTGAATAGTATAAAAAACACATGCACACACACACACACATTAACGAAGGAAGAGAGAAAAATAAAAAGGAATCATTTAAAGTAAAATGCAAAACTGTGTGCTAATACCTGAACAGAGTTTAATTGGGAGAGAGAACAAGAATGGAAATAAAAAAAAAAAAAGAAAGATAGATCTCGTAAAAAAATAAAAAAATAAAATAAAGCGCTCGAGGGATGAAGGGAGCGGTGGTGGGGGAACAACAACAACAACAACAATTACAGCAACAATAAGAAAATGAGAGAGAGAGAGAGAGAGAGAGAGCAAGAGAGCGAATTGGCATTTCGTGTTGAAGAACTCAGGCATATATATATATATATATACATAAAAAAAAAAAAACACCAAAAAAACAACATCAAAAAGATACGTCAGTTACCTTCCTTACCCTCCTGAAACCCCCCTCCCATTCCGTATATATACAAAATAATATATACCATACGTGTATACATATATTTATGAAACGAAAAAAAAAAAAAAAGTAAAAACAAAAAATTCAGAAAAGAAAGAAAGAAAAAAACAAGTCTTACAAACATTTGATCCGATTACAATTCTTTTGTTCTTTTTGGTTTTTTTTTAATTTTTTTTTTTTTTTGGTTTATTAAAAACAAAACCAGCTGAAAGATCATATACACCGATTATTATTATTATTATTATTGTTATTATTAATTATATACAAAAAAATGTATTATCAATTTTAAATAGATTTAATTTTTAATTTTCTTCTGTGCGCGTGTGATGTACATACTACTCACAATGCTTCATAGCTATTATTATTAATTAATATTATTATTAATACTACTTCTATTACTACTACTATACTACTACTACTACTACTACTACTACTACTACTACTACCACCTAATACTATTACTACTATTACTATTACAAATTTAGATTAAATGTTAAGTAAGGTATTATTGTATACCAAAATCATTTTTTTTCGTTGTTTAGCTTAGTATGAACGTGAGAAAAGAAAAATTAGAAAGAAAGGATAATGGAATAATGAAAGGGTTAACAAAAAAAAAAATTGTAAGAAAGTTTTAAACAAAATTACACGCGTAATTATAAAATCGCGTGTAAAGAAGAAGAAGAAGAAAATAAAGAAGAAGAAGAAGAAGTATTGTCCATCTTTGAGAAGATGACCCTTAATAGGGAATGTACTCAAAGTTTGGACAGTACACGTGTGTGTAATATGCTCCCACGTGTGAAAGACGGCATGCGTGTGTGTAAGTAAAAAAAAAAAAAAGAAAGTAAATAAGTATGCGCGTATGTGTATGTGTGTGTTTTGTTTTATATGCATGCATCATTCATGTATGCATACATGTTCTGCTGTATGTATGTATGATGAGTATGAAATGGGATACATGTATGATAAGGTTATGATGATAACACATATATACATATGTATATATGTGTGAATGAATGAATTTATTAAAATAGTTTTAAAAAAAAAGTAGAAAACGAAAAGAACGTGTTAGAAAAAAAAAAGAATAAAACAAAAGAATCGAAGCATTATAAAGAGAACAAAAGAAGACCGCTGTCAAAGTCGCCGATGCCGCCATTACCACCACCGCCGCCGCCGCAGTCGCCATTAATGACACCAACGCCATCTACGCCGCGCTCTCAACTCCCCCCACCTCTCCATCGTTCGCACCCTTCATTACCCCTCACTCTACCGTAAAAAGAAACAAACAAACACCTTACCCCTGACTATTATCTTCCAGTGTTACTTATAATAGAAATGGGAAAGACTCATTCGTTGTTTTGAGCGAAATGATGAAACAAACAAAAAAAAAATAATAAAAAAAAGAAAAAAAAGAACCGAAGAGAGTAATACTGATCAATAATAATATTAATAATTAAAATGAAAAAAAAAAAAAAATCGAGAAATATTATTAATAATCATAATGATGATTATAATGATAATGATGATGATGATGATGATGAGTGATGATGATAATGATAATAATTATTATTATTATTTATGTTATATATAATTCGTCCTCGATGTTACAGAAAAAAAAACCGTGTTTAATAAAAATTTTATTTCGACAAACGAACATTTATCTGGTGTGACGATCAATTTTTACAAATTTATACACCATATTTTACTTTTATTTATATATACATATATATATATATATATATATATATATATATGTGTATATCTATATATCTATATATATAAATTTAAAAAGAAAGTAATATATTTAAATATAAATATTATGTTTGAATGATCATTGGTCGAGTAAATAAAATGAAATATTTTGTTGAATTAAAAATAATAATTTTCTTAAACATTCAAAAGTATTCTTGAATATATATATATGTATAACATATTATTTACATATATGTATTTAGTTTATATATATATATATATATATATATATATATATATATGTGTGTGTACACATATGGTATATATTATATACATTTTTTCACTGCCATTATTCGATTCAGTAAAAAAAAAGAAGATAAAAATAAAAATAGAAAAAAAAAATAGAAAATGTGCTTTTCATG